CTAATCATTTTCCTCAAAAGAATGACTCTTGAAGTTGGGAAGAATTTCTCTAAGAATGCTCTCTTCATGCTTTCTGAAGAAGTGACGGTTCCAGGTGCAAGTTCATAGAGCCAATCTTTAGCCTTGTTCATAAGAGAGAATGGAAATGCTTTCATCTTCAAAATATTCCCATCCACGTTGATTGGTGTCATGCTCGAATATACCACTTCAAATTCCTTCATATGCTTGTCAGATCTTCCATGGACAGCCCATGGTATTTGGGGATGTGATGCAGCAAGCTAGACTTCAATTCGAACTCATTGGTCTTTCCATGAGCCGCATTAGGATATTGAATGCATAAGGGCACGACATTGTCCAATCCCAAGGCTGAAAGTTCCTTGATTGTTTGATTGTCCATAACCATGTCTTGTTCTTCCTCTTCCTCTTCCTCTTCTTCTTCTTCAATTTTGGGTTCAGAGCTAGAACTAGGTGGATTGGGTTCTGGTTGCTTCCTCTTCCTTCTCAAAGTTCGTTCAAAATTGTCGTCGAACTCCAATATATGTATATGAGCAGGTTGAGAATGTCAAGTCATAAACTAGTACCTAAAACAAAGTAAACAAAACTAAACTAAATCAAAAACACAAGAAAAGCAAAAACAGAAACAAAGGGGAGATTAGCAAGCTTGCTAATCCCCGGCAACCGCGCCAAAATTTGATGTGATAGAAACTGACACACAAATTAAACCCTACTTTAAACAATTGTCGTATGCGTAAGTAAGGATCGTTCTAGGCCAGGGATTAGGAGGGATGCTAATCTACACTAATTAGACTCAAAAACATAAAACTAAGCTAAACTGACTCAAAACAAACTAAACTGACTCAAATAACTCAAAACAAGCACTAAGGGGTGATTTGGACGAAAATCTAACTAAATTGACTCAAAACATGAACTAAAGAGAAGTTTAGACGAAATTTAACTAAAAAGACTCAAAATAACAAATGGGGGTTGTTTTGACGAATTTAACTAAAAATAAGCAAATTGCAGAAACAAACTAAAGGTTGCACGATTTTGGGTGAATTAAAGGGTGAAGGGCTAGCTAAAGGGTCCTTCTCCACACATGACACATATGCAACACAAATCGATTTCCAATTATTATTCCTATAAACCATGAATGACAATGCCCCAAGTTAACTGTGAACTACACAAATTAACTCTCAGATTTTCATAAATTCATTGAATTGGACTCAGCGATGCAACCAAATTATTCTTATCAATTTCCCTACATGTACTGCATAATAGAGATACGTATTAAAGATCATTAAGTTCTGTGAAAATCATAAACATCGACATGACATTCGTAACTATGAACTGCATGATACTTCTGTCAGGAATTTACTCAACACAATCGTGACTAGCAATCTCCACTACTTGTAAATATAAGTTCATAACTATTAGGTGAAACTCCCTTATATTTTAGCATCAAATTCATGCATGCAAACTAAGTAGGCCTCCTTAATCAACATACAAGAATAAGTTATCAATCAAACAATTAAGTAAATTGCGTTCATGATTAATGAAAAAATAACTGGATGTAATCAATTCATATCACACATATGTTTATGGCCTTGAATTCACCTCTAGCTAAAACGAAATTAGTTCCACATGTTCATCATAACTGAAAACCAAATTAAAACAAACATTGGACTAAAACTAAGGATAGAATACATCTAGAAACGCTCCAACAATCCCAAAGGCTTTGGATGGCAGGCACGGCTCCAAGCTCTCCCCCTTTCTTCCTTGCTGCGGCACAAAGTGTTTAATTTCTTTGGACTTGTCTCTCTAAAAACTCCCCTTTTTTCTGCGGCATAAAACATGTATATATAGCTAGGGTTTCACGACACAAATCCTTGGAGGACAAGGATAGGACACGGCACAAGTCCAAAAGGAAAAGGACTAGGGTAAGGTGCGGCAAAAACTGGGCTTCTAGAAAGAATATTGTGACTAGTTTCTAGAAGAAAAAGGCTATGATATGCGGCACAACCTTAGGGCAGAGAATAGGGCTTCTAGAACCAGATATTTAGGTGTTTTAATGTGAAAAAGAGCCCCCCTTGTAGCTGGAATTAAGGTAGGAAAAGATTCGGATAGGATAAGATAAGATAAGGTTATTTGGATAATGTTTCCTTCTTTATAGCTGATTCCTTATCTTCCAAGTCTTGAATTAATTATTCCAGATGTTAGGCACATTCCTAGTCTCTTTGGATCTTCAAAAACGTCCATCCACCTTGCCCTATGCATGTGTCATCCATTCTAAGCCCAAAACTGCTCTAAAATGCTCCAAATTGCCTTTTCTTGCCACTTTTGCTATTTGAACCTATAAACACATGAAAATAGCTTAAAACACTATAATAAACAGAAACTAACTGAGTAAATGCAAGGCAATAGGCTAACAAAGTTGCATAAATATGCTCCTATCAACAACTCCGTTTGAATTTCTATTAAAATGAATGACGTACCGCGCACTTCAGGCTGAATTAAGGGGCAAATATGAAAAACTAAATGAAAAAAATTATAGTAATGATTCTTCAACTTTAGCCCAATCGTAACAATGATTTTTTTAACATAACTCATTTTGATGAAATTTTGACATAGTTGACTAAAAGGATAATAATTGCAAGTTTGAACGAGTTAAAAAATCAATGATCATAAAATTTTAGTAGAAGGACTATTGCTCAATTGTGCTAAAATTGAGTGCCTATTTCTACCATTTTCTCTTAAATTGAGGATGCAGCAGGCGAAACCCTAGATACTTGATATCGTTTATATGCTAGCCCTACTGCATGTAGTAGATATGGGGCAAGATTTACGAAGCCAGCTGCCAAATCTGGCGTCTAATTGCTCGATGTCAGTCAGTCGGTTTCAAAAAAGTTCTTACTTATTGCAACAGCATCTTACGCGTTAACATATACATGAAATAATATTTTAATTAATTAAGTAAAGCAGAGCCACTAACAGTTAGGGAACCTTTAGCTAAAAAAACCCTATAAAAAATATCAATCATTCACTAGTCCTTGTTAAGTTTCCACTTTCCATGATTCAATCATGCAAAATCTTTGCTTCTCCCAGATATAATTGTACATGACCATCATGATCATCACCACTAACGGAAAGCATATATTGCATGATCGTACGGTTGGCATTTCACAACATTGTTGGCACTTGTTATGACATCATCTTCCTCAAGAAGATACCTATTTTGCTGGTGCATGCAGGGTAATAATAAGGACAGGATTGTGGGACATTATTCTTTATTTAATTAAAAAGAATGGCAAGTAGTTATTTACTACAGTGGTGAAAATTAGTTTAGTTCTTACATGATGACGTGTGTTTAAATTCAGTCCATAACTAATTTAACAAAATTTATTGTTTGACCAAAAAAAAAAAAAAAAAAGAATTTGGTTGATATTTGCAAAATTGATCTTTAAATGGTGATATAGAAATTAGATGGTTCTTGATGAGTCATTATTATATTATATTTTATCCTATTTTTAGTTATATTTTATGTAAGTTTTTGGGAGAATTTTGCTACTTTCTTTTATGTTTTTTTAATAGGACAAACGGAATATTCTTTGCTTAAAATGTGATGAAACGATGGAATTTTGGAATGATTCCAATTAGAATAAATTCCCAAGTCATTCAAGTTGTTTGGGTCAAAATATCTTCCTTTAATTCTATCTGTTGATCATGGCGATTAGATGAAGGCAGATACGCTGTGCTTAAAAATTGACATTCTGGTCTCTTTTGGACCATTAGTAATTGAAGATGACATTTTTGAGGAACTTTCCTTCGTTGAAGGGGATGTTTTATCTTTCCAACGCCACCTTGTATACCTAATTCTGTGTAGATTTGGTTATATAACGGGTTGACTTTCTGACTGCCCAATTTACTAAAATAAGAATAGGAATGTATATGTTAAGTTATATTATTTTATTTGGTTATCCAGATTTGTTGGAGAAACCTATTTTAGGTAGGATTCAAATTTCTAGGTCTATCTATACGTCGAGTTTGAAGCCCTAGAAGGGGTAGACGTTTTTGGCTTGGAGAACTTGGCTTAGAGAGCGTTAGCAATTGTCATTTAGTACTACATTATGAGCCTTAGCATGAATATGTAGTTTTTCTCCAATTTACTTAAGATGTTATACATGCTTGCTTTGAATTTCAATCACAAATTTTAAGCTACCCATATATCTTGATGTTTGATCACCGTTAGGATGTTTAGATTGGTAATTGGATGCAATTTCTGTTGGAATATCATCTTGAAATTGGTTAATGCTTCTTGTGGTTGGAAATTGTACGTTCACTTAAGGCGAATATCACTTTTTAAGTTAAATGGTTTTTCAAAGGATTTTTACAAAATTTAATGAATCTTGCAGTTTATATTTTATCTGAATGTCATAGACGGATTGCATGTTAAATATATGCTCTAGCTTGAATATCACAAGTAGAATATGCATAATCAAAACCTAACATTCAAAGCTTGTATGTTTGTAGAAATACTTAGGTTGGCCTAACACTCATAAGTAATTGGTAGAAATACTTAGGTTGGTTAATGGTGACAACTAAACCTTAGTGCTTTAGAGTGTTGATTCTCTTAAACTGTTTATTATAATTGTTCTTTTGATTTCAATATTGTTGATTTTAATACTTTCGGTTATTTGCACTTGTGATTTAATTAAAATTTTCAATTTTCTAAATCTTGTATTAAATAATTAATTAAAAATTGTTTTAAGCATTAGTTATTCATAGTAGTTTATGGAGACATTGACCTTATTTAAGTAATTTATACTGCAATAATCTTGTTTTCTTGAAAATGTTTTTGTGTGACTTAACCCTAAATATGCAGGTGACGAAAATTCTCAATTCTAATCAGAAATAACATTGAAAATTAAAAAGAAGTTCTGAGAAAGTAAAATGAGAAGTTTTATGTGAGAAGGTTCCTAGCATCTACATTAAATATTTGCAAAATCTGAATTGTGGAGTGACGTACGTGGCTGTGATGATGCGATTGAAGACGGCGCTGTCGTACGTCACAGGAAGAAGATCTTATTAGCTGGCTACTAAAGCTAGTTAATCATTAATTTCTAGAGAAATGGCTGCATGAGCAATTATTTGTGAGCGGATTCAGATTTTACAAGCCCTTATAAATTGAGTAATCCCCCCTCTCCAAAACTTCACAATTAATATTTCCAACTTCCTCTCGCTATTCTGCTGCACATTAGGGTTTATTCTTAGCTAGGAAATCCAAAATATGGCATCAAAATCATCAGTGGCTTTTTGCTTGATTTTTCTTGTGGCTTCGTGCTTGATGCGGATAGAGGAAGCTGCTAGCACTGGTTTTTCTCTCTCACTGTCTCAGACGCAATACCATTTCCTTATGCATAATAGTTTCCTATATAATATGTATCTGATTTTCTATAAATTAAGCGAACTGCTGTAGATAAAATGGAGTTTTTTTTTTTTTTTTTTTTTTTTTTTTTGTTCTTTCCCTGTTAAACAGAATGCAGGCGCACTGGCCATGGGTGCCTTGGTGGTGAGGAAGCTGGTCTCCGGGGAAATCAAAACAGAAAGGTACATCCACATTTTTTACTATTTCGATTTTTTCCCAAACAATTATAAATAAGATCTCTTCTATAATATTTATAGATTTAAATTATAAATTAAGTTAATTTCATCCGATCATGCTTCGTTTGTTGACGCATATACATGAACAGATGCTGGTTGCTGGGATCGAAGGAAAAAATAATGAGGTTGATGTTGGTACGAGTAGGAAGCTGCTGCAGGATGAAGAAGCTGACGGCGATGATGATATTATGAATGGCAAGAACAAGTTGGAGGTTGGGTCTGAGTTAAGGAAGGTTCCTTCTGGTCCTGACCCACTGCACCACAATGGAAATGCCCCCAAAAAGCCTCGCACTGATCCTTAAAAGTTAGGGTTTTCCCATCGAACGGTCGAGCAAGAGCTAGTTCGTTACGTCTATGTACAAGATCTTAGCTTGGTTACTTCATGCACTAGCTACCAACCAACGGTGACTTTTTGTGTTCAGGAAATGGAGGGCAGGGCATATATCACTATGTAAAATATGTTTTATTGTATGGAACATATATATATATCAATGCTCTGCATATTTTGGTAATATATATTTAGCCTTTAGTCAAATTTTATGCTCAACTTCTTGTTACTCTCTGTTTCTCTATAGGTCCTTATGATTTGTTTGGTTAATCATACAACAAATTATAGTTTTGTGTCAAAAATTAAAATTAACATGTTCACTACTACAACAAAACAAAGTCTTTTCCTAATAGATCAGTTGTATGAATTTTAAAACGTTATTACGCTTGATTTTGTACTAATTTCATAAAATTTTATGATGCTCTAAAGTATACAATACTTTTAACATTTTAGTTGCTCCATCTTCATTTTTATTTTTCTAATCAAACATAAAACGGTTGAAAAAAATCTGAATACTCCAAAACATTGTAAAAAATCTCTATGTACAATACTTTTACCCAGAGGAATCATTTTGTGACATCAGATGGTGTAGCGCATGTCACATTTTCGCCCGTTTTGGGCTTCTCCTGGAGTTGACCCCTGATCAATTGAAAAGTTACGGTAACTGTCACTGTCAAAATTGACTATATGCTCTCAAGGCGTATTTACCGGATTGGAATAGAATCTTGGGATGGTGACATATAATCCCGTATCTTATTTTGGAGAAGGATTTCAATAGAAATGTATACACACATATAGTGGTTCTGTGTCAATAATACGTAATAAAAAATTAGTACATGATATTTTATTACTAGGAGTGAAATTTTTTGTCAAATTACCATACCAACTAAATTACCAACTGTATCATACAAAAGTTGTATTAAAAAGTTTGTACCATTGGAAATGTTCGGTACAGTAAAAGTATTCAAAACCATTACTAGTAGTATATCGTACCGTACCACTACTATTAATATTATATCATTTAGTTATTCATTTATAAATAGGGAGTTTTAACGAAAAGCCCGCGGTATTGTTCACTTAATGAAAAACCATGTTTTTACACTAAAAAATCAATCCTGGTACTATTCACTTTACCCTTTATTTTGTCTTTATCGTTAAAACTCAAAGTTTTCAAGCCCTTTTCATTAGTTTTCCTTTTTATATATACTTAGGTATTATTATCATTATGTATGCACTTTATATTTTTTTCCTAGTCATTTATCCAATCATCTCATCCTCTAACCTTTACTTTCCCAATAAAAAAACTTAAGCTTTCTTGTTCTGCGACTCTTCATCTTTTCACTCATCTAGCCATTGGCTTCATCTATGTTGCTCCCGTTCCGACAACTCTCTCTCTCTCTTCGCAATCCATCTCATCTTCTCCTTCATCAAATTGGGATGTCTTTCTCCCTGGCTTTGTCTATTACGTTAATTTTTGTACAATTTTAAAGAATGTAGAGATGGAATTTAGGAATCTTTGTACTATTTTTTTTAGGGATGTTGGATTCTTTCAACCATTTTTCCATCTATTTACTTCTTGTTTCTTAAATGAATCTCTATAAAATCTCATAATTAAATAAAAAAGTTTTAGAAACCCAACGAAAGTGCCCAAAACACGTTTGGGTCTTGAATTGTGTCGCATCCCGACCCGGGCCCCCACCACATCCATGGCTCGACTCCACCGTAACACGATATTGTCCGCTTTGGGCCCCGACCATGCCCTCATTGTTTTGTTTCTGGGAAATCACACGAGAACTTCCCAGTGGGTCACCCATCCTGGGATTGCTCTTGCGCGAACTCGCTTAACTTCGGAGTTCCAATGAAACCCGAAGCTAGTGAGCTCCCAAAAGGCCTCGTGCTAGGTATAGATGGGAATATACATATAAGGCTTACATGATCCACTTCCCTGGGCGATGTGTGATGTTACAATCCACCCCCCCTTAGGGGCCCGACGTCCTTGTCAGCACACTTCTGGCCAGGGATTGGCTCTGATACCAAATTGTCACATCCCGGCCTGGGCTCCACCACATTCTGAGCTCGACTTCGCCATAGCACGATATTGTCCGCTTTGGGCCCCGAACATACTCTCATGGTTTTGTTTCTGGGAACTCAACTCCAAAGTTAAGCGAGTTCGGGCGAGAGCAATCCTAGGATGGGTGACTCACTAGGAAGTTCTTATGTGAGTTCCCAGAAACAAAACCGTGAGGGTGTGGTTGGGGCCCAAAACGGACAATATCGTGCTACGGTGAAGTAGAGCCCGAGATGTGACAAATTGGGTTGAAAAAAAAAAAACAAAATTTGGCCCAAAACAAAGTGGTAATTACCATTACCATACCATGCCGAAATTCGATATACCGAAAGTTTGGCACAGTAATGGTAATAGATTTTGTCATACTAAAAGTGTATGGTAATTGGTACATGGGTTTTGGTACGGTAATCGTACCAATACCACCCCTATATATTACTATATGAAACATCACAACTAAGTACTCGTGTCATAAAAGTTATCTGTTTCGTTTTGGCATTGTTATTTGCTAAGCAATTATCATTAATTTACATGCTAGAAAATCAATCAAACACTACTCGAAATTACTATTTGCTTGTCAAAATTTTGTCAGCTAAAGTTACTTTGCCCGACAAAACAAAAAATTTGGTCGGATAAAAGCAGTCAACGTTTTGGGGTCTTTAGAGGCTTTAGGTGACGAAAAAAGTTACGTTGGGTAAAGAATTTTCATCAGGCAAGTTTTTCGCGCCAAGGGAAAAAAATGATGCATATTATGCCAACTTTTGCCCAATGAAAAGCAATTCGTCAGCATAGGTGAGTTTGTCCGACGAACCATTTTGTTGGGCAAAGCATATAATGCGTCAGGCAAAGATCAAGGATGACCTGTCAAAAACCCCACAGACACCTTTTTTGCTTAACGCCCTTCTTAACTTTGGCCGATGAATGTTGTGATTGTGGGTTGTGTGAAATTTTGAGTTTGTGTTTTATTGAAACATATGTAGCTTAGGTGTATTAAATTTGTACAGCATTAGCCTAAGAAATCACGGTGTGAAATTTATTGAAATTTCATAACCTTTATATGAAGTTAATTATGTTGACTAACTTCGTATAATAAAATTGTAAAACCTTACACTCGTTTGAAAGTATGTTGGAGTGTGCGTAGATGTAGCACACAACTCTACGATCTAACTGATTCTTGAACTGTCCAGTTAGGATAGTTCGGGAGTGCAATAATATGTGTTTAAGGTTTGTGATAAATGTGGCTAAGTTTTGATCGGGAAAAATTCAGTTGCATCCCCTAATGTTCTTCAAGTGCATATGAGATATTTGTTTATAATATCTATGTCGCACATTTGGGGAACTCTAGGGAGATGCTATCGAATTTTTTACGTTGAAAATAGTTGCTTGAATTGCAAACCGCAACACAAAAAGTGCACTTTTGAATGCGATAGGATCATCACCGGAGGCAGAAGGTGATGAATGATCGTATATCAACTTTTCATGACCATTAAATTCTTTAGAAACAGGCACAATGGACAAGGGGTGGATAAAGTCATGATAGAAGTTATGACGAATATTGGATGGGATCGACACATTTATTGGATTTTCAAGCAACTATGTCGGTGCTCATAATTGTATCAGGTGTCCATGCGTGAAATGTAACAACTATGTTTGGATGACATTTGACAAAGTTTGATATCATTTGAACGAGAATGGAACAGAAAACACTTACTCGAATTTGACTTATTAACGAGAATCGCCGATTAAAGCGTCAACAACTTCTGACAACGGCATTAACCCCCTTAATCTGGCCGTGTTGATGATGACTAAGTGATAGACATATCGAATCGAATGATACTTACCCTAATGCTTAGCTCAAGATGGACGATGAGCCTCCATAAACCCTAAGAAATACAATAGATTGTTGAAAGAAGCTCAGGGAGAATTGTACTACACTTGTCAAGATTTCTCGATCCTAACAGCCATTGTGCAGTTAATGTACATGAAAGTAGAGTGTACTATGACCAATCAGAATCATGATATGATGACAGAGATTATTAAACATATTATTCCGAAACCTAATGCATTGCCTGTAAATCATTCTACATCAAAGAAGATGTTGAACGATCTTGGGTTGGAATATCGAAAGATCCATGCATGCAAAAATAATTGTATATTGTTTTATGGTGAATTTAAGAAGCTAGACAATTGCCCCAAGTGCAATGAGTTGTAATATCGAAAAAACTAAATTCCTAACTAGGTGTTGCATCATTTTCCATTGAACTCAAGATTACAAGAATAACATGTCGACCCACATTGCACATAATATGAGGTGGCATAAGGACGAACATTTTGATGATGATGTACTACATCATCCGACATAATTTGATAAAATGTATCTTGATTTTACGGCGCAGCGAAGAAATGTCAGATTAAGACTTCTTATCGACAACTTCAAACCGTTTGGACATTTTTCAAATGAGCACAACACTTGGCCGATGGTTGTCATGGAGATTCCTTATAACTTGCCCTCTAGTGATGCTTTAAAAAAAAAAATCAAAGATCATGAGTTTTTTTAATATTCGGGCCCAAGTCACCCAGTGATTCCATTGATGTTTATATACGGCTGTTGACTGGTGGGTTGATAGATTTATGGAAAAATGGTGTATGAACATACAACAAGTTCACTGAGAAAATGTTTACTATGTGAACAACAGTTATGTGGACAATTCATGATTTCCTAGCTTATGGTATGTTGTCGGGCTGCAGCATCAAAGGTTATATAGCATACCTTATATTAGTGATTACACCTTGTCATTTTGGCACTCATGCTACTTGGGCCATCGAAGATGGCTCCTCTTCAATCATGACTGGCGTAGGGAGTCTAAAGCATTTAATGGGAAAACAAAGTTTTGGCTTAGATCAAGGGAATGGTCCGAAGATGAGATATTGTCCAAGTTGAATAGTCTCCAATTCGGCGAAAAGACCGAGACTAGTGGAACTGCTAAATTGGACGAGAAATAGTATTTTTTGAATTATACTGGCCGAAGTTGAAACTCAAACACATTGCAGTTCCCATGCATATTGAGAAGAACCTTTGTGAAAATGTGGTGGGAACGACTCCTTCTATCAAGGGAAAA